TAAAAAGAAACTTTAAAATAAAACGGCGGCAAATATCCTGCTTGTAAGCGGCAAATTGCTTAGTCCGTCACTGAATGTTTGTAAGTATTGACCTGATATGTATTTTATAAGAGTTCACTGTGATTGAATATCTGTGTCCGCATTATAATATATAATATTTGCATAAAATATATAATCAATGCACTTATCCGTATTTTATCCATATTTAGTGCAGTGTGAATACATCGTTTGCGTGGCCGTAATTAACAATAACAATTACCACGATAAAGATGCAATCTGGAAGTCTTTATGCCTTTCTTATTTTCCGCGACTAATGGTAATCAGAACAGACGTCATGTTTTTTTAGATATTATTAAATGCGATAAAGGTAGAAAAAAATGTTTGTACCGTTTTTTCCTTATAAACCATTACAACTTACAAGCATGATCTCGAGCGCAGAGTTGTTGTTTGACATCAAAATCTCTATGTACAGGTACAGGTACTACAATAGGTCCTTGTATAGTTAGATATAGGTGCTCCTTTTATAATTATAATGGTTATTGTGTTTTACGGTCGTTTATTAGCTTTCTCAATGTAAACGTTTAAAAAGTAAAATCTGTGTAGTGAATTTATTTTCTATTATTCTTAAGAGAAAAGTAATATTACGCTTTTATAGGGATGATTCAATTTTTTAAATTTGTTTTTTGAGGTAACACAATTTAGATTTTCATTCGTAATATTCTTTTACCATGTACCAAGAATTATGGTACAAACAATTTTTTCGTTGTATTTATGTGGTTATGGTTTCATGTCACCAAATTTCTTTTACAACTACAATCTAAAGAAGTTTTAATTTAATATGCCATTCATACATTTTTCAATTTTCTATCACCTCGAACTGTCTAACATTATAAGTGTTGGGTGAGTATTGTATTTGATCTTGAAAAATGTCTACTAGAAAAAAGTCGAGTAAGTATTCGAATTTACAAAGAGAACATTTTTCCAAATTCAAGTACTCACCCAACTCTTAACTTTATCTTTTAGTATATACTTTATATACATAATATATGAGATAAAATAAAAATATTTTTTCGTTCTGAGTATAAAACGAGAAATATATTATATTATTATAATATGAACATGTAAAGAAAATATTGTCTGCATTTAATTTAAAAACAATAAAAATAAAAATTTTCGTTATAAAAGAGACCATTTAAATAAATTATTGTTGGAGTTACATTGAGCATGTTATTAGTAGATATAAAAGTAGAATGAAATATATATTGTGCTTTGAACATTACTAGGTTGTCCTTATTTTTGGGAGTGGTAATCGACCCACCAATATCCTGTGAATCGTGTTTCTTTTATTATTTTTTTTTTTGATCTTTAATAATTGTTTATGGAATTTTGGGTGGATAATTGTAAATAAAATCATATAATGTATATGGTATAACAATGAAATAGCATACGATTATCATATAATTCTGAGGGTGAATAATTAGACTATGCTGATGCACCTGGTGAAAATGTATAATGGTTTAAATTTCCAAAAAGGTAGTAAAAATTAATTTGAAGTATGCACGGAAATTGAAAATTAGAAAATTATGTAATTGAAAATAAAGATTATCAAAATGCAATCAGCTATGAATTATAATTTTTAAGTATAATAACTAATAATATATTTATTAAAATTTTATTGAAATATGCGATTTTAAATTTGTTTTATATTAGTAAGTTTTGTATGCATTATGTCGTTATATTTTATCATAAATTGCATTTCTAACTTTTAGTTTTAAAATTAAGTATCTGTAATTAAGTTTAGGTTAGGTCCTCAGATTAATTTAACAATTTTTTATTGATTATAAATGTTTTTGATTTTTTTATCGAATTTAAAACTACAGTTAAAAAATTACTAAATATAACCAAACCACAATCATAAATTTAGTATTATCTTTAATATTTGAACAAAAGCTATAACATAATAAAAATATATTATGGTTATAAATAATATACTCGTATATGTTATATACATATGTAATAATACATACTATGATGTGAACTTGATGTAATATTTATAAAATAATATAATAATATATATCACAGGTTTGTAGTTTTTAATTTCCAGGTCAAAATTACAACTTTTCTTTAAAGTATTTCAAAGTTAGTTTTTGATTACATTTTTTCGATATAGAATGCTACAACAATAATAATGTTGAGGATAGAAATAAATATCTGGAATATTAATATGTAAAGAATTTCGTATTTTATTATAGTAATAGGTACTATTGGTACTAAGATAACGTAGAACTTTAAACAATTTTGAAAAGCCCAAAAGGTGAATGACTTAAACTGAATACTATAAATGTCGGTGTGTTTTGAATATTCATATATGAGTAGCTATATTTATCAAACAAAATAAATGGAATTTATGTAACTCATAGTAACATAACACTATTCAATAAAAATATAATTTAAAAATAACTTTAATTTTATTGTATATACTGTTATAATTTTTTATAATGATTGTAGAAAGGGATACATTTTAGATGTTAACAAATGAGAAAATTCAGCAATGTTCATACTATAATCACGGATGGAAAAGCAATAATTATTTTAATAAAAACGTGGTATTGATACAATAATGAATAAAATTAATAAACACATTTTAAATGTTTGTATTATGTAAATATATATATTTTTTAATACATAAATCATAATTATATACTTTTTGATGGCATAAAATATGCATGTAAACGAATTTATGAGTTTTATAAAAACTTTTTTTATGTCAAATGTATTATATAATACACGTTATATTATTATATTATATTTACATGCATATCAAAACTGAAGTAAAAGTAAATATATATATATATATATATATAGGTGAGGTATCTTTTTTTGATTTATAATTTATTGTCTTTATCTTAAATAGGTATCTATCAAAATAAAATGTTCACATAGTGTATCAACTTGGTATTAATTAGATAATTAAGTCTTATAGAAATTTTAACAACTAAAATTATCAGTTATTATATATAGATCAAACAATCAACTAGTTAAGTTATTAAGTTAATAATAACTCAAATTAAACGAATTAACTGGTTAATACTTACCCTCGCTGAAAATAAGGATATTATCATTATTACTTTACAGTTTACTCATCCATTAAAAATGATTCAAGGTTGTAATTGGTGTTATAAGTAGTTTATTTAGAAATTCAACTATCTAGAATATACATAAAATATATATATATATATAAAATGTCTATAAAATTAGAACCGTTATACGTTTTAATAAATAGTACATACATAATAGGTCTCCGATGAAAAACTTGTAGTGAATTTTGTTTTGTCGAGATGCACATAATCATTCAAGTAACAGTAAAGGTACATTGGTGTTTATACATAATATATTTTTATGTTTTATATTAGTGAGCATGAATACTAACCTTACATAATGTTAAAATATAATTGGAACCTTTAGATAATCGTATATTGAATTCAACGACTATATATTGAAAAAATAATAATTTGTTATAACCCAGTATGTATTTATGTAGTTCGTGTTGTATTTATGGGAGTAAGGTAGGAATACTGGACGAAGTACTTGAATATTTTAGGTTTATGTTGAAAAAAAAAATGATGGTTATAATTATCATTTTATGTTCATATAGTCTATTAATAAATATTTTTTAAAATAAGAGTCACATTTAGAATTTAAAAAAAATTGCATCACTATCAAGAAAAAATTTGAAAATGCACCAATGTATAAAATAATATTTTATCTGTTACATATACATGTAAACGTCACTGCATAAATGAGGCATCCTGAACGCACATTATACATGTGTCAATCGTGGGATAAATGGGACGATCCAGCGAAACTATTATCGTCGAATAAGAAAAACGTGTGGTAGAAAAAATTGTTATTTGTATTACAGTATGTAAATATAAAGTACATACTAAATTTGGTATCTTGTCTACGGAAATTGTTCGCGGACACTATTCCATTTGTGGTCATCCGCGGGACGACGCAAATGTTTACAATGTATACGTGTTATTATGTCCTGTATGTATTATAATGTGTAAACGTTTAAGCAAATTACATCCGTAAATTACCGCAATTATATCGAAAAAGAGATGTTGTACGTACATATATATAAATATATTATACAACACATTGCCAGGCAAATCGATTTATATTGTTTAGTGTGTTCACTACGTACGTATTTATACAGAGTGGTCCATGACGTTTAGTAGTTAACTGCGAGTAGATGTATTTACACTTTATGGGAAGATCTTTATATAGATAGTTTTTTTATTTTAATATAATTATCTAACCTTTATGGAGCTATTAAACGAATTATATATATATTTAAATTAGGCAAGCCTAATTTATATATATATATATATATAAATTAGGCAAGCCTAATAGCCGCACGCATGTAATTAAAAATCATTTTTAAAATTTAAGAAATTCGGTTCCTAAATATTCCGTTGCAAGGATGATTGGAAATTTGAGCTGATAAAATTGGTGGGAATCACAAATCTACACATTGACACAAATTGAGTACACGTGCGATACCACCATCAACGTTATATCATTAATAATTTCATGATTACATTATTGTCTGCAATGTAATGTATTAAATGTTAAACAATAATATACTGTGAAATCGATGTTCCGTACGTTTCTGAGTTATCCTGTATAATAAATACAACGGACCGGGCTGTTAAATAATCTTGCATAATACGTAGGTAAGACAACGGGGGATAAAAGGATGTCTTTATATCCTATACAGCATATTGATACGAGTAAGTACCTATGTGCATAATTTATATACACCTCCGAACCGTAATCTTATTTTTTTTATTAATTTTCTCTTTTTTTTTTTTCTAAGTACAAGACGGCGTTTGATGGCGACGGAAGGGGCTGTCGCGGGTGCAACCGACCAAGACGTCTGTACGCGGCGGTGGCGGCGGCGGCGGCGGCGATCGAGCCTATATAAGAACGCGAGCACAGTGTGCGTGACGTCTCAGACCTCAGTGTGTTCCGTAAAGTCTGCACGAAACGACTTCGTGGACGCAAATCATCGTTGTACACATTTAATATATGTTTTCATAGGATCAACCGAAGAAGGTGAATCTTTCGTCGTCGAAAAAAATACGTAAACATATTTCGCGCCACCGTGTGATATCGACGACGGTTGAAAATGGTAAGTGGATTTTAAATTGTTGAAAACATTTTTTTTTTCTTTCCTATTCATAATCATCTTTATAGCTATACCTGTCTGTCTTTGATATAAAAAAATAAAAATAAAAAAAAATTGGTTATTATTTTTCTCGTATTTGGAATTTTCCCAAGAGGATTTTTGCACTTTCGTGTCGTCTCCGTTCCGGAATACAATCGACATCATTAGTCACGAATTTCTTCTTGGTTTTTTTTTTTTTTTTTGTAACCGCTCGGTTTCCATTTGGGAAAATTGTCATTCCCCGGGAAGTCGGTCGTTTATATAATATAATATACGTATATACGTTTTATACACCAAAACCGTCACTAATCGATTCGACTACTGTTCACCGTCAGCTGCGATGAACTAAATATTTTATACGTGCATTCGTTCAGAGCGCATCAGGTACATCTCTTGGTTTTCACTCGTTTTTCGTTTCCGTTTCCGTCGACGTCGAAAAAGTGCGCGGCGACAACAGACCGAACAACGTGTGCCGAACGATCGTTCTTGTTCGTTCCGTTTCGCCTTGGGCCAGAGCATATTTTAACGTACAAAGTACGTGACAATAGTTCCCCCCCTCCCCCGAGTGATGATTGAATGCTACCCAGTGATGGGTGATCATGCCACCAACCAACACATTCTCATAACGACCGTAGTGGTGGGAGTTGATTTTCCCTGTACGTTCCTCTGCACATAGGCGGTTTCACATTTTTCAGTTGGTGGTTCAAGAATAGTTAATACCACCCACCCACCCTGCCAAAAATTCATATCAGGAACAAAAATTTACGTGATTTCCATTAAACCATCAATTTTATATTGCCTATCGCTGCCAGCCGCCAGTACCAAGTGTCCACCTATTAAAATAACACTCACCCCAAACTTTTTGGTAGTTCAGCGAACCGCAAAACTCGTGATCGAGCCGCTTCTGCCTCTGCAGAAGAACAACACGTCTACGAACTAAGACGGTGGTGGACAATTTTATCGAAGCGCCACCCGGTGAATATTGTCAAAAATACGCTATGCCCAGGGCGCTGCACGTTTTCCGCGCGCACGAGTGAACGAACCCCGGTGTGGAACGCGCACAGGCGAACGGTTGCCGTTCTGAAGTCATTCGCGGCACACGTCACGTCGACGGCTTGTCGCGCACGGCGACGGGTACACGGCGACCGTGTGTAACAAATCGCTAATAATCGCGGTGGACACGGCGTGCGCATACCGTCGGACCGCGTTAAATGTATGCATGCGTATAAGAAAGGAGTACTATACTGCCTGTATAATCGGTATTCTGTACGTTCGTATTATAGACGACCCGTGGGAACAGAAGTGACGGAAAATATTCTGCGGTTAGGACGGCGCGGTGGAAAATTGATCGTTACAAATACCGTTTGTCGTTTAAACACGTATCGCGCGTGGTTCGATTTAAAAACGCCATCTTTTATAATATTAGGAAAACGGTTTCCGGAAAAAGTCGACAGCAAAAATAGTGAAAGTCTCTTTAGATATGTTAATTAGAATTACGCGATTTATTTGTTTTTTATTGATCCGAATTTAGTTTTGCGGTTAACCGTTTTGATATTCGTGTCTACACAAAGTTCTGCTGTTAACGGGAATTATTAAGCAACGGAAAATCGAGGAGTAGTAACTCCTCTATTTACTCTCTAGTCTCAACACGCCGCACGCGATATTATGTTTGATTCCAATATTATGCTATTCGATGCAATGTTTCAATTGTTTTACCCCGCATTAATTGTATATCCACACAATATACAGTTCTTCAATTTCAAATTAAAATCCATTAGTTATAAGTTATAATAAAGAAATAAAATTTACAAATTTTAAAAATTATGAAAAAAAACTGTTTTTCAGGTATAGTTTTACCGATTTATAACGTAATCAGTGTTATGTTGATATTAATTTATGATTCTTTAAAAATATAAAAGGAATTTATTGTTAAAATAATTTCTCATTTTATTAATTATAAAAACGGCATTTTCTAATTTAGCTTTGGTTACACAGACGATTTTATATATTCTGAAAATACAGTTTTAGTAAGAGTTGAATATTTTAGAACTCAATACTCATAGAAAGTGAGAATTGTCTGATGACAAATTTAATAGGTGCGAAGGTTTTCAATATTAGGCAATGTGAATTTCTTTGATAGATGGGTACACTTTTGTGTATGATTAAGTATGATTAAATACGGTAAAATTATGAACTATAAACATCACGGATCTAATAGAATGGTTTTGTAGCAATTCATGCTTTTAAAATTAAAAAAGTTCATTAGTTTTATATTAAAGTCCAATCAACATTTTAATTATATATATACTTAAAACCAATTAAAATTAATTCCATATAAATGTATTACAATATTCTTAAAAATCATGAAAATTATCAATTTATTTCCAATCGTTTGAATTTTACTATGTTTTTTGTTCCTTTCTAAATTAATTATTAATCATTAAGTGTAAGTTTTTTCATTCCCAAGTGAAATTAAATCTTTATATATAAATATATACATATTATAAAAGCCAAATACCAATCCATCATTGATCTTTTTTTTTAAAAACCACTAAACGTATGAACTTGAAATTTTAAATAGTAGTTCGCAATAAGAAAGAATTTTTCGTAAATCGTATTTTTAAGGGCCGAACCAGTTATGGGCTAGATGTATAACATTTTTCACTTGTTGGTTATCTAATAAATATTTGATTTTGTTTAATATGTTAATTAATAATCATCGATTAAGATATGTGTAAGTTAGCATACAGTATAAATCAATAAAATAATGAATAACATTCAAATATACAAATATTTTGCGTTTTTCACTAAATGTTTATGTTAGGGCTTTGTGTAATTTTTATAATCTATAATATTAAGATATTTCCCGAAGCCAAATAATTCAGATAGTTTTAAAAAAAAAAAAATCATTTACAGATTGATATACGTTTTTAAGATTTATTAGTTAAGAATATTAAATTCTATACTTTAATATATTTATCTTTTTCGTTTGGAGTATATAATACAAAACTGTGGTATTATAGAGTAAATTAAATTTAAAGAGAAAAACCTTGGTATATAATCAAAATAGTATTGGATTAAAGTAAAACTCACTTTGCGTGATACCTTAGTCATCAGTTGTGGTTACTTAAATGACATGTAATCGTTATATTTTTTTTTATTTTTTATTTTTTTGGTATGGGTGTAACGCTGTAATGGAATTTTCATTGTACGATTCACTTATAGTTTCGATTGCATTTCATACACAGACAAAACCTTAGCTATTAAACTATGAATATACTCGTATAAGTTATGTTTTCATAGTTATTTCTTACGGCTGCAAAAAGTAAATCTTATATACACTGTGAATACTACTCAAACGAGTGTTTTCGTAATAAATTGATTTAAGTATTGTAAATTACTATAATATCATGATGTATTTCATTTTTCGGGAATATCAACATTTCACGAATGTTTGATTTTGGATAGCTTTGGTTTTGGGCTACTATAGGTAGACCTTTAAGTAAATCAATGAAATTATACAGTTTTATTTATTTGAAATTTATTTGTTACTAACTACACAATGGAATTGAGTTATTTCTTCTGTATAATTTATAAAGTATTAATGCTTAAGGTTTGACAAATGATTTTTATGATTTCTTGTAAAAGAATATCGAGAAAAATAAGAAAGAAATACATTTTTTAATGTAGAATTGATGCACTCTCTTATCATTAACCGATTATGTAATAGCGTATTATCATAGAAAAATAGTATTAATAACTGTTTATCAATCAGAGTATTCAATATTGAGTATCTGTGTATTCGTACATTAAACATGTATCATTGGACTAAATGGTTTTGAATTCCTCATAATCAATTTAATTTTTAAATAATTATTTTCGGTCGATCACCAATTCTTTTCCTTGTTGATTATTGTCGCATCCTAAGAAATAAAAAAATATTTTAATTACATAAAACAACTTAAATGTTTGATATATATTGATTTATAATTACATGTTATACATTATATTTCATTACGAAGGTAACTTTGGTTGAAATATCCTTCTTATGTAACTTTATTAAATATTTTAAATTATGGATTTTACGATACAACAAAGTGGTAACATATAAAAACTATTCCGACTTCAAAATTCAAATTATTAATCGAACATGCGTGTCTATATCCGATTAAATTATTGTTAATAAGAGCGGTCATAAGCGATCAAATGTTTTTATGAAATTTAAGCCGACAAAATGTATTTTATAACACTTAAATGTGTTAAACGAAGATAAAACACGGAATTGGCGAAAAAAAATATAATTTACGCTTAGTCATCTTTAATAAGACACATGAAGGCATAATGGGTGTGAAATTTTTTTTTTATCGACCACGGATTATGTTATAAAAACATATTGGGTTTCAACAGGAGTTTTAATACATGTGATAATTTTATATGTATATATTGTATCGTACATACTTAGTGAAATTAAAAGTACAATGGTTTAAGAACCTCTGTTGCATATTGTCATACATGTTGTATAGAAGAGATTTGCTGAATATAAAATATAAAATCATGACGGCGGAAATGCGAGAATTTTATGTGGATCAGTCGGACAGTGTATTGTGAACAATGAAGTGTTTAAAATAACTTACATACTTATGTCTTATAGTACATTGTACGTAAATATATTTTAAACATAATATATACATTATGCTATATTGTATTATAGTATTATACATAAATATTAAAATTGTTGTCAAAGTAGAATATATTTTATTACAACTTTGAAATTTTAAATCCATAATATGCTGGCAAATAGATAAATAACATAATTTAAACGTTAACTTTGTAGTTGTATTCCAATTAATATTTATTCTACATTATTAAATACTGTTCTACTCTATGTATACAAATTATGTTACTATAACTATGGCGTTTAAAAAAGATTTAAATGAATAACAATAACTATAAAAAAGGAATTTTAAATAATATAAACTAAAACAAAACTAAAAAAAGAAATATTTAAAAATAATAATAATATTATATGAAGTAAATTAATTAAGGCAACTTTTGGAATTACATATTATAATGACACAATGAAATAATTTTTTATATTAAAAGTGAGTTAGATATAAGCCATATTTAAAAGTTGAAGTATATAATATATTTCTATACAATTCAGGTGTTAATTAGAGAAACTGTGAATAATTTTATACGATCATAATTTATAATATTGTACCTATATCATTATTATTATTAAGTTATTTTGATCATAGAAAAAATATAATACTATAAACTATAATATCTGAATGTATGACAGAATATATTTTAAATATCTGGATTATAATAGCAATAGTAACTAAATAATAACACATCTAATATGCAATGTAAATTAAAATAAACTAGAAAGTATGTTAATTATTTAAAATTTTTAAATCTTACAGAACAAACATTAAAAAATAAAAAAAATGTATATGAAAATAATCTATATAATTTAAATTAAATTACTTTAACATACTTAAATTTATAAATTTTAACATTGTAATAAGAAACTAATGATATTTTTGTTGTGTATTATTATAGTAAACTATTTTTTACTGGTCCTTTCGATGTTGTTATAAATGGTTTTACTGTATTCGGTGTGCCTGAATGAATTTTCACTTACAGTACCTAATAAATACATTTTTTCAAAATTTACAAACAATAAATCATCGTTGTTGTAGTTAAAATTTAGGAAAGTCATTCGATTTATTGATTTAATGAGTTATATTATATACTTTTAATAAGTCAAAATTCGCTTTTTTAATTTTACGTTTTTATCTAGTTATAATTAATTATTTTTAATGCATGCAAGTTATTAAAACTTATCAATAGAATATGTCCATAGTTATTATATAATAAAATCACACACAAACGTAATCAATATTTTTCTTTTATGTTTAATCATATAGAATATACAAATGTAAATAAATAAAAAATGTATAAATATATTTTATTTGTTTATTTATTCGTATGGCATAAATAATGTAATGTATTAGTGAATACATTTTGTGGTAATAAACAGGTAACAAATTATTAAATAGTACAGGTATACAAACATAGTATAAAGAAATATAGAAAAATAATAATTTAACAGGTAATAATAGAATATATATTTAACGATAACACTAGTAGATTTAAGCAATTATAAGACAATATCTCGGTTTTTCATCTAATAAATGTATTAAATAGATATATTTAATTTATTTTACGCTCCAAAGTGTGCCGAATAAATAAATAAACCAATATTATACCGTAGAATAAATCATATTTTTTATGATTGGTAAATGTTAGTCGGAATTATTGAAAACTCGAAAGCAACAAAAATAAGTAACAATAGCTGATATACAAAAGCCAGTCATTGTAGTTTAATGTTGTACACCATGGAATTAACATATGAATTTATTTACTTGATCGTTTCCGTCGATTTGGGTGAATTCGGTGTGTAATGATACGTATGCTTTTGACGGCGTCCTGGCCGGAGCGCGTAGGAGTCGCTTAACTTTACAGAATATATGGTATAAGATACGTAACATCATCATTGTTACATACCGAGTATACGCATAGTATACATATTCAGCAGCTCGGGCATATGCTGAAATTTATTCAACGCCGCCTTCATCATTATTATAATTCAAAGAGTTCAGAAGTAAATGATCTAATCGGGGGCGGTCTCGTGTTAATCATTACGACTATATGTACACCGCATTATAGTAGTTGTAACGCAATAAAAATAAAATAATATTTTACACCACTATCGTGGTAATATTGTCGTATCTATTGCCGCCGTACAGTCTTGTGTTTTTACACAAGTACTTCCAATTATCCGCCTAGCCCAACGATGTCTTCGTCCGGTGTGCGAGCGTGCGCGTTGGCATCCATCCGACGAAAACCCATTGCAGTAATAACAATAATTGTTTCCATTAGTTATTTCTATCGTAATTTCTTTTTTTATCATTGTTATTATTATTATTATTTTTTTTTGTTTTTTTTTCTATCGTATCCGACACAAAATATACGTACCTAATTTCGCCGACGCAGCCGCCGCTCCCGTCCGGTTAATGACGACCTATATATATATCTATATACAGTTATACGGCCAATATTATACGACGGAGGCTGCTTCCTGTGTCCTGGCGTCAATTCACATTGTTTTTGTCCTCCTTTAAAAATAGACGGCCACTGGATTAAAATCCTCTGTCGTGCCGTCACTGCTTAGATTGTCATCGAAGCGTTTTCGGATCGCTAGTCCGACCAGTGACGTGTACAATATACCTTTATGTACCGAATTCGAGGACATGGTTCAACGCCTTGTCACCGTCATTATCAAGTGGTGTATATATATATATATATATATATATATATATGTATTAAAAAAAATAAAAAAATTATCCTCCGAATAGAAAATAACGAAGGAAAATAAGTAAAAACAATAAGATTTTCATTTTTTATTTCTTTCGCACTTCTGCAGAACTGATATTGTAGATCTAGCACACTTCATACACCACAATAGCAGTGATGTGTGGCGGTGCCATTGTAGGAAGTGATCAATGACTTTGTTTAATTATTTTCCAATTTATTGATTTTACGGATGAATTGCACTTCGTATTTTGATACCTGCCAATGCTTTTCATCAACATTGCCCGTTTATTTTGTTATTTATATAATTATTATTTAATATAATATTATACTTTTATCTATTAACAATTGAATACCTACGTATTCATTATAATGTATCTATTTTATAACTTTCAAGTTATAATAAAAACAGTAACTTATTTATTTAAATTTTACAATTTAAACTTAGACCATTTTTGAACTTGGAGCCGTGTTAGTAAGTAAATTTTAAAACGTAAATAGAAAAATTGTTATGAATTAGGTATTTTGCGATAATATTGTAAGCTCGATTTCGTATTGAGAATGAATACAGCGAGTGCAATAAAAAAAGTGGTGTACAAACAGTAATTAATATATAATTGTAATACGTTATTATAGTCTGAGCCCTCTTCCTAAACAAAGAGAAAAAAAGCTATACATATATATACTGTTTAATATTTATATAGAAGATCTTGTGTTCCACTCAGGAGAACACTAATATATTGTGATGGGTATGACGAATCTGGACTCCGAGTTCTGAACTGGCTTAACTTAAATGAAGCGGTATAGGTCTCTCTCCTCTAGCCCTAATTGGTTGAAATGGTAACCAGCTCTGCAGGTTGTTGGTTAGGTAAGCACAGGGATAGGAACCTTAAAAACAAAAAAAAAAAAAACAAACGTTCAGGATACAAAAACCAAGCGTCGGATAGAGTGAATGGAAAAAATAAATAGAAAATCTTATGCATTTAGTATTTAAATACTTTATTCATTTATGTATAATGTGCGGGTGATAATCAGATATTCTTGGTCCAAAATATAAATATTTGACATTTGTCATCGTGACTATACAAATGACAGTGTATAAATTACTAATTCGCGTGTCAAATCGATAAAACCCCTCTGACTGATAGTATTAACTAATATAAAGCGTAAATAATGTCGAGATTCATCAAAACAAAAGAGATGTAAGTAATACAGGGGATGGGTATTTTTCTGTTAACTATGAATACCGATCAAACTTCATTCGTTTCGCGTTAATTGTGACCACGATAAGTTAACGTAACTAATTTTTTTTTAATTTTTAGCGTGAATGTATATCCGTACACATTGGCCAAGCAGGTGTGCAGATCGGCAATGCGTGTTGGGAGCTATACTGTTTGGAACATGGCATTCAGCCTGACGGACAAATGCCGTCGGACAAAACTATTGGCGGTGGTGATGATAGCTTCAACACATTTTTTAGCGAGACCGGAGCTGGAAAACATGTCCCAAGGGCCGTGTTCGTTGACTTGGAGCCCACAGTTGTCGGTAAATTATAATATGATTAAGTACCGAGATCATAGTCTAAAATATTATATATTCTATGCATTAGTATTTTTCGAATTAGGAACATATATGACAAAGATGGATGGATTACAAAATCGCTCTCAATTCTTAGTTTTCGGAAGTAGTTTGATTTAAATTTCGTAAACCGTTACACTATCAAATATCATAAGTGTAATCAGATGAAACCCCTCTAACCTAAGACTCTAGGAAATTTTTCTTTCATTTCATGAAATATATCCTTTCAGGACATAATATTTTCACTGTAAATAATCTTAAAGATTTAATGTATCATAAATAAATAAAAACACGTATCTGCTTAGAACATATCATTTATAATTAACATATGGTACGTATTTTGGTAATATGATTACAACGAGCAAATTTCATACTAATTGGCAAACCCCATAACTGGGTGATATTTTGGGTTTTTTGTCCTATAGATTCTCTATTGACTGTTAGTCAGGTTTTTAGTAGAGTAATAATTATTATGGACTTCTATTCTCGTATTCAATCTTATGGTTGTTTATTCAGAAGGATATACGTTTTCACTTTTCCCTGTTTCCAGCTAACTCCTTCAGTTCTGAGTAGCTTAATAGTCTAGCATCGTAAATAATTTGTTTGACGAATGAAGTTCTCTGACGCCTTCGATCTCTTTCACCTTCGATTTTCTATTACTATATAATCAATCACCTACTATTGTTCTATGAACTTGTTCGTTTTCGTGACCAATCATGTTCCATCGTCTCACTTATACGGTGTTTTGAGTATCATTCTACGTTCATTAGTACGATATTCTATGCAACTCACTCGCAGCATCCTTCCCCGAAATCACATTTTAAAGCTTTCCACGATTCGTTGTTCTGCCTTATTTGGTATCCATGTTTTGCAGCCGTATAGCGTCACACTCCATACGCATACTTTTACGAAGCGTTTATTCACCCATTATAGACTTAACATCAAATTTATTATTCTGTTGCAGATGAAGTGCGTACCGGCACTTACAGGCAACTGTTCCATCCCGAACAGTTGATCACCGGCAAAGAGGACGCGGCCAACAATTACGCCCGGGGCCACTACACCATCGGCAAGGAAATCGTGGACATCGTGCTGGATCGGATCCGAAAGCTGTCGGACCAGTGCACTGGTCTGCAGGGCTTCCTGGTGTTCCACTCGTTCGGCGGTGGCACCGGTTCCGGTTTCACGTCACTGCTCATGGAACGGCTGAGCGTGGACTACGGTAAGAAGAGTAAGCTGGAGTTTTCCATTTACCCGGCACCGCAGGTGTCCACGGCCGTGGTCGAGCCGTACAACTCCATATTGACCACGCACACCACGCTCGAACACTCGGACTGTTCGTTCATGGTAGACAACGAGGCCATTTACGACATATGCCGCCGGAATTTGGACATCGAGAGGCCTACGTACACCAACCTGAATCGGTTGATCGGTCAAATCGTGTCTTCCATCACAGCATCGTTGAGATTCGACGGCGCGTTGAACGTCGACCTGACCGAATTCCAAGTAAAATAACATTATATAATATATTTTTTACAATTTACAAATATTATGTATTTATATATAATAGTATTATAATTATATTTTATATATTTTTAAAGACACTAGCGATATTCGGTTTAATGGGTAGTAGTAGTAGTGAATCCACGGGGGCGTTTGAGGGTTAAGCCCTCCCCCCCACAAAAATCAGGAAAAATATATATTAAAAATCAATAATTTTATGAATTAAGAAAAAGATTTCTTTTTTTTTAAGTATGAGGGAAAATATACAATTTGTATTTTTATTCATAAAATAAATTAGTAGTCGTCTTAGATCTAATTTAATGTATTATATTACTTACTATTATCTTAATTCATTATCAATCACTGACTGCAATATTTTAAAAAATATCCCAAGAAAAAACATTTTTCAAAACACCCCCAAAAGAAAATCTTCGATCCGCCACTGGGTACTGGATTCGTACACTGTTTTAATCAGTGATGCAGTGGAGGGTATATACGGCGTGTACGCACCTTCTAATTTTATAATTATGCGTGTACCCTCAACGAAAATCATGGTACGCAGATACGCGGACCACGAACAAGACATATTAACATTACCCAGTAAATAGTATGTATTACATTTTGATAGCCAATGAATAAAAAAAAAAAGAGCGTGATTTTTTTTACTTCACTGGCTAAGAAAATATCTTAAAAGTCCGTGGTTTACTTGTACTTGTAGATAGTAATATCTCTAATCTTGACTTGTACAGAAACCGTTTGTACACAGATCTATTTTTAAACCATTCGTTAACGTTCACAATATTGTGTATAAATATTTTTACAATGATTCAGGCGTCTATCCGTAACATTTTTTAGGACTATATCACTGGTTATAATTATTAGATTGTTATATGTAACGTATAAGGTTTAAAGTAACTACAATTAGTTACATGATGATGTTCATTCCACACTTCTTCCGAGTCATGCACGGTTCGTACTTACATTTGTATATGACGGGTGCATTAATTACTAAATATATAACGTGCTGTTAATTTGTGTGTTCGTCGTCCGATGGGCTTAATCGATTTGGTACATTAAACCAAATGCAGGCACAGACCTCTTCTTCAGGTTATGCAAAAGGCTGCCTCCCTATTGAAAGTTCTTTTAAGCATTCAAACTACTGGTAAAAATATACACACAAATATGTATATACAAAACTGTTTCATTTAAAATTTAAATGTTTTCCTTAAAAAGAATGACTGAATAGCCATTAGCCATTTGTTTATTGTTATAAATGTCTTCATGGTTAAAATTTAAAATAAATTACGAAAAAAAAAATTAAATATATAACACTTATTGAAATGGTTTCATTATTATATTTAAATAGTGTATATTAACTTATGTGTTCAGTTGAGTTTTTGAAATCATCAATAATGCCAAGGATTTAAACGTATAGCTATTTTTTGCTCTGTAGTTAAAAGCTATTTAATCTCTCTTATAACATAATACTTTTTTTTTTTTTTTTTTATTGATCGAAATTACAACTTTGGTAGCTATGGCCATTAGTTACATTTTTTTTTTTTTAAATTTCAGAGAAATGATTGTTAGATTATTTACATATTAAAAAGGTTGTGTTATGAAAAAGTATTGTTTATTTTATTTTATTTTATATTTATTTGTCCAGTCCAGTGTTCTTGAGGAAGAGAATGAAGTTGTCGGAGAGGAGATATATGGTCCTATTGTTTCGTACAAGTTTGAAGGGATATTATATTTGATTTTTTCGATGAGGTATGAGCGGCATTCTGTTATTATATGTTTAATTTATAGTTTTTCATTGCATGAGGAGCATAATGTTAGTTATTTGTTGTCTATTAAATAACCATGAGTTAGTCGAGTGTGTCCTATTCTCAATCGGTTAATTATTGAGTTTATTTTTCTCGAGGTGTGGATTTGAGGCCAAGGTTCAATATTTTGTTTTATCATATTTAATTTTGTTGATTGTTTTGACCAATGGTTTTGCCAGGAGTTATTATAGCTATGAATTTTTTTATGTCAGAAAAAGTTATTAAATTGAAATTAGGTGTTTCTGTTGCTGTTGCTGCGTTTTTTGCGTGTCGATTTACTTCTTCGTTACCATGTATATTGTAGTGTCCTGGTATCCATATTATGTTAATAATTTTGTTGGCTTGTTTTAATAACTGTATTTTGTTTATTATTATTGTAGAAATGTCGTTGGGTTGGAAATTATTTTGTATACTCTGTATGATGCTTAATGAATCTGTGAAAATGTTATATTTTAGTATGGGATTTGTTTTAATATAGTTGAGGGCTGTTATAATGGCTAATGCTTCGGCTGTATGTTTTGAAATTTGATTAGATAATTTGTAACATATATTTGTATTTTTAGTAATGTCTGCAAGGCCTACCCCATTTTCGCTTTTTGAGGCATCTGTGTAGATGTCTTCGCCGATCAAATTGTTTTTTATGTCTTTAAAAATATTAAGAAAAATTATAGGATCTGTTTCATTTTTTTTAGAATTTATTAAGTTCGGAAATTATGTTGATGTTATTGTGCCAAGGAGGTGATTGAATAATTTTATGTTTAATTATGTTTGATAGGTTTAGTTGATTTGATTTTGTTATCACTTTAATGTGTTTAGGTATTATGTCTTCTTGATTGTTTTTAGTTAATTTTGCAGCATAAGTGAGGGAAGTTTTTATTCGATGTATCCAGAGTGGAGCCTTATTAGATACTATGTGTATGCTTTCGGTTAGGCTAGATTTGAATTCTCCTATAGATAGTCGTAAATTTGAGTTGTGAACTGGGTCAATAATTTTTAGAATTTGATTTTTAGCTGAGGAGTATATTTCTGATCCGTAATCTATTTTAGATCTTATAAGTGAATTATATATCTGTATGAGTATTTGAGTTTGTGAACCCCAAGTTGTGTGTGATAAAACTTTTAAAACATTGGATCTTATTGATGTTTTTTTTTTAAATGTTTAATATGTGTTTTCCAATTGAGTTTTTTGTCGAATATAATTCCTAATATTTTGATGGTATTTTTGTTGGGAATTGTAGATCCGTTGATTTGTAGTGTTGGGGGTTGTATATTTCTTTTTTTTGTGAAACAAATGCTTTAAGATTTATTTGGAGAGAATTTGAAACCGGTTTGATTTGCCCATTTTGAGATATTGTTAATTGTTGACTGAAGCATGTTCTGTATTGTTTGTGTTTGTTTGCTTCTTAAGAAGATGTTGAAGTCATCTGCGAATAGGGTATGTTTTACAGGGTTTGGTATACATTTACTGATGTCATTTATAGCAATTAAAAATAGTGTGGTCGAAATACTAGATCCCTGTGGTATTCCATTTTGCTGAGTAAAAGTGTTTGATAGGGTAATATTTACTTTGACATGAAATGTTCTAGTTTTTAAAAAAATTGAAGTTTAGTAGGTTGCTAGAGCATAATACTGAACTTAATTTAGTTATTATTCTATGTTTCCAGGTGGTGTCATATGCTTTTTCTATATCAAGGCTAACTAGGCACATTGATTGGTTTTCATTAAACGCTTTATTAATTTCTGTTTGAACGTATTCGAGACTGTTTGTAGTTGATTTGTTTAGGTGGAACCCATTTTGGAATTTATCTAGATAGTCTATTTTTTTTAAGTACCATGTAAGTCTAGTATTTATAGTTTTTTCGATTATTTTGCACATATTGTTCAGTAAGGATATAGGTCTGTACCCGTCGACTCTTGAAATTTATTTTTTTTAGGTTTTAGGATTGGTATTATTATACTGTTTCTCCAGCTTTAGGGGAAAGTGTTTTTTTCCATATTACGTTGAATATGTGGAGTAATAGTTGTTTGCCGTTTGGGGGTAAGTGGTGAAGAAAAGAGTAGGGGATCCCGTCAGGACCTGAACTTTTGCTCTTGCATTTTGCTAACGCATTATTTATTTAATTCATAATGATTTCTTCATTAAGCTGTATTTGATGTATGTTATTGGGATCAACATTGGAGGATATGGAAATATTTTCGGTTGTTATTTTAGTTTGTATAAATGATGGCATGTAATTGTTATTGCTGCTATTATTTTGGAAAAATTCGCCGAAAAGGTCCGCGGCTAGCTGTGGTTCTACTATGTTGTATGTTTCGGAGTTTAGAATATTTATTTGATGATTTCGTTTAAGTCCTTTTAGCGATTTTATTTTGTTCCAGACGCTAGAAGGTTCTATTTTTGTGTTTAAATTGGATGTGAACTCCTTCCACGAGTTAGCATTATTTGTTTTTATGAGATATTTAGTTCTCACTCTAAGTTTTTTGAATTGGATGAAGTCGTTTAATTGTTTGGTTTTTTTATATTTATTAAATACGCTATTTTTTTCCTTTATTGCAATTCAAATGTTTTCATTCCACCAGGGAACTTTTGGTTTATTATTGTTGTGACATTTTTTTATTATTTTTTCTGCTGTAATTGTGATTAATTTATTAAATTTTTCAATGAGTTTATCAGGTGGGTCATTGATGTCTAATGTAAATTGTGTTTCGATTTCATTGTGTAATGTATCTGTGAATTTTTGCCAATTGGGGTTTTTTAAGTTCCATCTAGATAAAGCGATATTATTGTTGTCGTGTATTCTTGGAATTATTGAGATGTTGATTGAATAGTGATCGCTGCTGTGTATTTCGGTGTCCACAGACCAAAGAAGTCGTTGTGCTAGAGCAGTATTTGAGAAAGATAAATCTATGGCGGAGAAATTGCCGTTGTGTGGGTTTAGTCGAGTATATTCGCCCGTGTTTAATAATGTAATGTTGTCATCGTTTAAATTTTTTTTCGATTATTTTATCTCTTGAATCGGTTAATATTGATCACCATTATGGCTATTAAAATCGCCTGTGATAATATAAGGAGTAGGGAGTTGTTTGATTATTTTGTTTAGATCGTTTTCATTGAAATCAAGTTGGTTTGGTAAATATATGTTACAAATAGTAATTATTTCTTTTCGTGTATTGTTATCG